AAGGTTGAGAACCGCTGCTCTAGGCGGTAAACTGACAGACAGTACCCTTGTGGAGCTACTGAGCAATTCAGTGTGGGAGGTTTATGAGCGAGTTCAATGTGTTAAAAAACTATCAGATTTAGGTGTGGGGGCAATTGCTCTTCTTACATTTCTATGAGAACTGTTGATATGCTTTTCTTTTCTCCCCCCAAAAGTTAAAATACCCGATCAGCAGGTTTCATTGAGGCAGGTTCTTTCTACTCGGTAGTGTGAAGAAGCCTTGAAGTAGGTTTGACTGGTTAATATTTCTGGAATTTTGTTGTGAACCTAGGCATCTAGGAACCCATTTCTTCAAGCATCCTTTCATTCCCTGTGTTGTGAGACACTGAGGATTACTTACTATAACAGCTCTCAAAAAGTGAGCCTATCCTAAAACATGTCTCTTTCTCTCTTAGGCAACAGTTACAACACTCTACAAATCAGCTTGCCAAGGAAACAAATGAATTACTGAAGGAATTAGGTTCCTTGCCCCTTCCCTTATCTACTGCAGAACAGGTTGGTATTTTCTGTGTTTTGGTTTGTTTGTTTGTTTTGTTTTTAATAGGAAAATACTTTATTTTAATGGAAAGTCAGTGTGTGAAACAAAAATAACTTGACCTTTGGTGCTAGACGGACCTTCTCCAAACCTCAGTTTTTCTTATCAATAAAATGGGGGTATACGGCTATTGCGACAAGGAAAAGAATGTAGGTACCAGATCTTGCAAAGGGCCTGGCACTTAGTAGGTACTCAGTGTGTGTTGACTGCTGCTATTACTGGTAATGATAATATATTAATAAAATGGGTTTAACCGAAGAAGAATCTCAGTGTTTGCATCTCTGGGGGGGCGAGGGGGGGCGTTGACTAGTAGCTCTGTGTTTTTAGGCTTGATCCTAATTTGTTTTGTATCCAGTTCCTGTAAATTTACATCATATGTCTTTTATTTATTTATTTTTTTTAGCTGAGCCATCCTACCACCTGTTGGCAGCTCAGCTCGGGCCTGGCATCGAACCGCTGTTGCTCAGAGCTTGCACTTTTAAGCGAGCTCTTAACCAGCTGAGCCACTCGGCCGGCCCCCATCATATGTCTTTTATATTTTGCACTTGCATGTTCCATCATGAGTCATTTATAGGTTTCCGGTTGAGGAAATGCTCAGAGGAAATATTTTCTGTTTTCAAGTCATTTTATTCAGTGGTCATTTAAATCCTTTAAACACACACACTTTTTACTGGGACTCATTGTTCCCTTGATATGCCATGCCTTTTGCTCGCACATTCCTGATGTCAGAAGTGCTCCCTCCATTGTGGCTTGATTCTTTTACCCATTATTCATGGTCTACCTCAAATCCTCTCCCTTTCAGGAGAAAAAACCTTTCTCCATTTACCTAAGCCTGTCATGAATCCTTTTTGCCTTTGGCTTCTACACCATTCATGGGGGGCACTTAACTTACCGTATTTGCTGGCGTATAAGACGACCCCCCACTTGGAGGCATATTTTTCAGGGCCAAAAAATCGTCTTATACGCCGGCAAATACGGTATATTGCTTTTTATTATTGCACTTTTTAAATGATGATGTCCTGTCTCTGATGGCTCTAAAGATAAAACCTATACCTTCCCTATCCTGCATTGTCTGTGAGTTGTGGCTATTGGAACATAAAAAATTTTAATATGTTGTGACCATCATTTAAAAAAAAATGACATAGAGTAGAAATAGAGTGTGTACCATATAAGAAGGGTAAATATTGTTACATGAAACTTTTGTTTCATGTACATGTGTGTATATGGTACTAGGTCAAGATGTCACATTCTTCCTGTGTGTCTCCATCAAAAAAGCTTGGAAATCACTAGTTTAACCCATACCTAGCAAGCTGTTTAATGAAGTATATGTTCAGTCTTTGGAGGTTTGGTGCCACCTTGCACATCAAAGAGGATCCAAAGCTAGATGCTTTGTCATCCTGCTACAAAGTAGTTATGATAAAAAGTAATCTTCATGTAATCACCCTTTGGTTAGCTGCATGTGTGCTATCTGTTTTAGTTGTTACTCATGCTGGTATTTTAATTATGGACCAGTTCCCATATCTCCAAATCGTTCCCAGATTACCCCTTTCCTCCTCCTAGCTGTGCACTTAGGGAATACACACTTGTAGATAACAGTAGTAATAAAAAAGGAGTCTAAAAGTCTGGTGCAAACAGTGTATTGAAAGTACTTAAGAGTTCAATAGTAGCCTAAGCAAAATATAAATAGAAAGTGAAATCTGCTACCAAAAAAAAAAAAAAATGGAGCTAATGTATTCCAAAATCAAATAGAATTTATTTTTAGATTATGCATTCTATTATTCCCTTCCATTATCTTGAATCATTAAGAACTTGAAATAGACCTACAAACATACTCTCCCTGGTGGAATATAATTCCTTGACTCCTGTCTTCCTACTGTGCTGAGTACTCTTCCCTTTTAATTCTTTCTTCATCTAATTAATCTTAGCCCCATTCCTCATCTTTTTGCTACTAGTCTATACATCAAGCCATGCATTCTTCTTTCAGTATTTTTTTTTCTCCATATTTATTTACTTTGATCAGTGATTTTGTTGCCAAACCCAGTGGCCTTTTTTTGGGTTCTTACTCACTTTTCTTCTGTTTCATTTGATCCTCTTGCCCATCCTGTCTCCATTAAAACTTTCTTCTTTTCACGATTCCCTTTCCTTCTGTCCCCCAATTCTGGTGATTCCTTTCTGGCCTATTTTCTCTTATCCCAGGTTGAGTCTCAGCCTCCTTCTCTGACTCTGTAGCTTCCTAGAAGTGGGCATGCCCCAAGGCTCTGCCATTGATCCTCTAATTTTCTCACTCTAGCTTTCTCCCTCAGGAGTCCCATCTACTTTTATGAGCTGTAACCTTTATGAACATGACCCCCGGACTTTTCCAGCCCCAGCCCCTAAGCCTCTTAAGTACTTGGCCCATATTGCTAATTCCTGTTCTGACATCTTCTCTTGAATAGACTGCCTTCATGTAAAATTTAATGTGTTGTCTTATACTGAATTCCTCCCATTTCACCCAAACCCCTTAACTAATCTGATTGGCAATACTTATTGTCATAGAAAAATTTGACAAAATGAGCCTTTTATTCTGCTTCTGATTCTCCAGGGAACCAAAATTCTGAATTGCAATTCCCTCTGAGATTACTTTACAAGGTACAGGTCACCCAATTCCCAGGTTTCTCAGAATGTAAAAAGGGAAAGTTTCCTAGTTGGGATTTTTTAGGGGATATAATTTTGCTTTTAATAGGTATTAAAACCAAATGATTTGGGGTTAATATGAAATTTCAAGTTCTTGTTTAATTTCTCTAGCGCCAGCAGAGACTTCAGAAGGAACGGCTCATGAATGACTTCTCTGCAGCTTTAAACAATTTCCAGGCTGTGCAGAGAAGGGTATCTGAAAAGGAAAAGGAGAGCATTGCCAGAGCAAGAGCTGGATCTCGTCTTTCTGTAAGTTTATTCCCAAAAGCAGACCTTTGCACATTTCAGGATGTTCTTTCTTAAGTTTTTTTTCTCTTTGACCATTAGTCTTTGTTTACTATCCCCCCAAATGATAAACATAGCCATTAGCTGCTGTGAAAATGCCAGATTGGTCAAAGATTCGAAAGGAATATGCACAAAGGTTAAAACAAAGTGACAGGTAGAATTAAGTGTAATTTTTTATTGTTATATTGGTCTTAGGTTAAAACTTTAAAAAAGAAAAAAGAATAAATCTGTTTTCTAGAATATAGCAGGCTAGGCTATTTGGACTATCCTTCTCTTTGAAAAGAATTAAAGACTAGATTTTAAAAGCCAACTTTTCAAAAGTACCAGAGAGACGTGAAAATATTGAGGTCAAAATCTAAGTGAAGATGAGAACCCATAGAAGTAAACAGAGCACTGAAACTGCTTTCACTGAGTACATTTACTGAAACTAATCTTGAACTTCAGTTTTGATGTCCTCATGGCATGGGGGGGGGGAAAAGTCAAAGCCCGAGGTCCATGCAAGGTGGAGAATCTAAAGGAAGATGCTCCTCAATTTAAACTGGGCCCTGAAAGACTATATTCTTAGGATATGAGTAAAACAAAAGTAAGACCTTCTTTCCCCCTTTGGATAGCAAAAAAGATTGCATTGGTCCTGAGCTGAGCGGGTGGAGGACGGCAGGAAGGAGGGGAAATCCAGACAATAAGTTGTACTACAAAGTAGCCTTCAGGCAGATTGGCTGCCCAAATTCGTGCTACCTGAATGGTCCAAAAGCCTCAAGCTTCAAGTAGTCCAGGACTGGTAGAGTACCTAGGTGCCCGGCAGAAGCAAAGCACGTCCTCCCTGGTTAGACACCTTTACCCTAGCCCTGAAAGAATACCTTCAAACAATTTCTGAAGTGTGAGTAGCATAGTGTTAAAAATAACCAAGCACACAAAGAAACAACCCTGAATAAGAACTAGTAGAAACAACAGTGAGGTGAAATAGACCTACCAAGACTTCATATATTAGAATTATAAGACAACTGTACTTGCTATGTTTAAAGAAATAAAAGCACATTTTGAAAAACCTGCAGGAAGCAGGAAACTACACTTTGGAAAATTGTAAAAAGATTTTTCTAGAATTGAAAAATAATACGGAAATTAAAAACTTAATGGATGAGTGGTTTCACTAGAAAATAGCTTAGAAGAAAATATCCAATATGTAGGACAGGGGGTTAAGAAGTTAAATAGGGAAGAAAGGTTATGAGAAATAAAGAATGAAGTAAAAGGATCTAACAAGAGTTTTAATTGGAGTTAAGGAACAAGAGTAGAGTAAACAGGAGATGATATTTGGTGAGATAATGGCTGGTAATATTTCAGAACAGATAAAAGACACTAATCTATAGTTTCAAGAAGCCCACCAATCTCAGGAGGGACAAATAAAAGACTGTCATCTAGATACATCAAGGAGAAACTTCAGAGAATCAAAGACAAAGAGAAAATTATAAAAAGAGCCAGGGAAAACAATAGACTACTTCAAAGATGCAATAGTTAGATTGACAGTTGACTTCTCAACAGCAACAGTAGAAGCCAGTAGAGTGCTATCTTTAATGTTTTGAAGGACAATAAGTGCCTATATAGGATTCTAAACACAGTGAAAATAGATATTCAGAATGATGCAGAAGATGTTTTTAGTCAGAAGAGTTTGCTATCAGCATACCTTACTTACGAATAGTCTAAAGAATTGTACTTTTGTACTTCAGGAAGTTGATCCCAGATGGTAAGTCTGAAAGGCAGAAAGGAATGAAGAGCAAAGAAAATGGTAAATATGTGAAAGGACAAACCATAAGCAAGGAGAAGATATTGCCATATGTATAACTGACAAAGGACTAGTATACAGAATATATAAAGAAGTCCCATGAATCAGTGTGAAAAAGCACAACCTAATAGAACAATAGTTTCTCAAACTTTTTGATCTCAGGACCTCATGACACTCTTAAAAATTATTAAGTACCCCAAAGAGCTTTTGTTTATGTGAGTGATACCTGTTGACATATATATTAGAAATTAAAACAGAAGTTTTAAAAATGTTTATTCATTTATAAATAATAATAAGCCCATTACATATTAACATAAATATAAATGAGATTTTAGTTAAAAACAACTGTTTTTCTAAAACAGTAAAAAATTTAGTGGGCACTGTTTTCATTTTTGCAAATCTTTTTAATATCTGGCTTAATAGAGGAAGCTAGATTTTCATATCTGCTTCTGTATTCAGTCTGTTGTGATACGTTGTTTTTGTTATTTGATGAAAATCTAGCCTTATAGAGATACGTAATTAGAAAAATATTTTAGTTAACCTCTTCAAATCATTGTTATGTTCTTCTTTGGTACTACATCAAAACTTGACAAAAGTTTCATTGTGGAATCTAAAACCATATTAATGACTTTTTCATACTCTGCTACATTAAACTGTTGGTCTAGCTTATACTTGGATTAGATCTTCTGTGCATGCATGATTTTTATAACATCATGTATTTATCACTTTGGAAAATACTGGTTCCCTGAGGTATGCAGGTCTTCCAAATGTAGATATATTTCATTATAAAATATAAAACAATCATATATTTTCTTCAGTTTTATCAGAAAAATCTTTAAATATTGGAAGTTTACAAGTGGTAGAGAGAAGAATTCTATTAAGTTTTAATTTGAAAGCTGGACTTGATCACTGGCAACAAACACTGCCCATTGTTTTCCTTGAAGTGAAAGGCTCACATTGTTTATTTTCAAGAACTTGTGTGCCAGTTACCTCTCTGAATAACCATAGATTGTCAGTCATTCTTTTATACATGTCATATATATAAAAGTTTGTGTATATATAAACATGTTTCATTAAAAAGTTTATATATTTTTAAAAGTTTATGAAAGTTCTGTATGTAAATACAAACCATGTTAAATAAGTAAAAATGATGTTCCCTAAAAAAAAGGTGGCTAGTTCACCCAGCAACTCAATTATACAAATGCTTTTCCTAGAGACAAACATCTTATTTTTGAATGCATCAGAAGTGCTTTATGTATATTCCCATTTTGTTGTTGTGAGGTGTTGATTTACAACGTTTTTGTTTTTTTTTTAGCTGAGCCATCCTGCCACTTGTTGGCAGCTCAGCGGCTGCTCAGCTCGGGCCGGGACTTGAACCGCTGTTGCTCAGAGCTCAAACTCTTGAGTGAGCTCTTAACCAACTGAGCCACTCAGCTGGCCCTAGGTGTTGAGATTTAATTAATAATTTCAATGGCTTTATTAAGGACAAACTGGCTTTATTCCCCCCCCCCCCCCCCCGCCGTGTATGGTGATGAAGAATACAATAATCTTAGTACACTTTGGTGCCACTGCTTTGATTCATGTTGAAGTGCCAGCAGTTTTATCCACCTTTGTTTTTGTTCCACGAGTGCAAATGTCGACACAGCGGAAAGGCAGATAACATCTTAGTATTATTTTGAATAACGATCAAACAAATGGAAAGATACTTATCTACTTTAGTAGTCATGGAATTGCAGATTAAAACCTCAATGAGGTACTATTTCATGTCCAAAAAGATGGGCAAAAACTGTAAATTCTGTGAACATCGAGGGTTGTTATGGATAAGATGCAATAGGAACTTTCCTTTCTGGCCAGTGGTAGTATGTATTGCAACAACCCCTGGAAAACATTTTGGCTGTAACTTCAGAACACAGGCATACCTTACGACACAACAGTTCTACCCTAGAGAAAACTGTATATGTTGGAACCAGGATAGATGTACAAGAATATTCATCACAGCATTATTTGTAGTGGTCAAAAATTGGAAACGTCCAAATGTCCATCAACAGTAGAATAAATACATTGTGATAGATGCATATAATATCATCCAGCAAAGAAAATGAATGAACCAGTTACATTCAGCATCAGGGATGGATCTGCATAATCTGGTGTGATCCAGTCAAAACACAAAGGACTGCAAACAGTATAATTCCATTCATGTAAAGTTCAAAATCAGGTAAAATTATATCAAATAAGGATTCATATCACTAGATATGTAAATTAAAAGAAAACGATTATCACAAAGTCAGGATAATGGTTACTTTTAAGGAGAGGGAGGGGGTTGTAACTGGAGAAGGGCACATACTTAGACTTTAGGACACTAGCAGTGTTTTGTTTCTTGATCTGGGGAAAAAGTAAAATTAAAAAAAAAAACCCTCTGCATGGGTAGAATTTTGAATTTCTTTCATTTTGCTTGTCCTTTTAATTATTGGTAGTGTAAAAAAGGAAAGCTTTTTAAAAATGGGAACGGATTGCTCTTTTAACATTTTTTTCTGTTTGTTCTTAAATTACAAAATTACACGCATTCGACTGATTTTTGAAGCAAGTTTGCCACTTTAGTACCTAATATGCTATTAATATCCATTTAAAAAAATCTATACATGTTCTGAAAATTTGCTTTAAGTTTTCAACTCTTCATCTACCTCCCTCCAAATTTTCAAATAGGTTATCAATATTATTTTTAAGTCCTCTCTCCTACCCATGTTCTCTCCATCCTGTTCAATATGGTTTCTGTTCTGAGCCTAAACTGGAATGCAGATTTGCTTTCAACTACTTCACACTCATTTCCTAGTCTAGACAGATTGCCAGAGCCTGGTGCCATCTTATAGAGATCCTGTTAAGAGTCCAGGGATGTTGCTTCTTTACACTAGCTAAAGGAAGCCATTGTTTTCTGTGTCTGTGACATGTTTTTGGATAACAGCAGCAATCAATATTGCCCTCTGCTTTCTAGGCGGAGGAGAGGCAAAGAGAGGAGCAGCTCGTCTCATTTGACAGGTAAAGGAATTATTCAGACAGCCTGCTGGCTAGTTGAGATGGGATTCTGTACTTCGTACTTTTTTTTTTTTTTTTAAAGATTTTTATTGGGGAATTGGGGGATGGGAACAGTGCTGGGGAACTGGGGAAAGGGGAACAGACAAGTTGCTGTCGTTTTGTTCTTCAGTCTAGTTGTGGAGGACGTCGCTTCACTGGCCCAAGTTGGCACCATCATTGCGCTCTTCTCTGGTGAGGCAGATCAGTCGCCGGCTTCTGGACGGCCGCTCACTGCGGCTGTTGGCCGCTCACGCTGGCTGCTGGCCACACACGGTAGCCCATGGCAATCCACTGCCACAGGGACTGCAGCCCACGCCGTCACCGGCGACTCAGGCAGCCCAGCTCCAGGTTGAGCTGTTGTTCAGCATCTTAGCTGTGGAGGGCAGTGTTACTGGCCCTCATATGTGGGATCCGAACCGGGGCCCTCTGGCATCCCAAGCGAGTTCTTAACCATCGCGCCACTCGGCCGGCCCTGTACTTCGTACTTTTAATTTTAAAAATCAGTGAGAAAAAATAAAGGGAGACACCTAGGGTGGGTAATGTATAATCCACAAAATAAAAAGGTCAATCCTTGGGCTTTTCTAAAGTCTTTGAATTATGGAAGGAATAATTTCAAGGTGAATAAAAAATCCAGGAACCCCCTGATGTCTATGTGTTGGGGAAAGACCCTGGCTCACTAGAAATAAGTAACTATGAAGCCACAAACCTACAGATTAGGAGGTCTAAATAATTTTATTGCTGATTCAGATTTAAGTTCTTCAAAGTTACTGGGTCTTTGTTTACTCTTCTCTGAGATGGGGGTAGTACAAGAAAAAGCAAAACAATTTGTATCTGAACGACATCTCCTTTCTTAACTTCTTCAAACTGAACGAACTACAGGAGATCCTCAAATAACGCCATTTTGTTCAACGTCATTTCTTTATAACATTGACGAGATGCCCTAGGAAGTTAATTCTTGTTTATATCAATTAGCCTATGGTAAAATTGGTTTTGTTGTATGTCATTTATCTTAAAGTTGCAGAACCTATCGACATTGAGAACTTACTGTAATTCTATCACAGATGTGTATCTGTCTCCCCCACTATATTATGAGGACCTCAAAGGCCTTGGGTGCTGTCTTACTTAGTTTTGTATCTCTAGCACGTGGAGGAATTCTTTAACTATTGTAAAGATGACGTATAATTTATGCATACTGTTGGAAAAATGCTTAATACTGGATTTTCAGTGTTTCATGTTTACGATAATGTGTCACATGCCTTTCTTCTAAATATGGTACCTGAAAAGAAGAGTTACAACATTTCACTAGCTTTTTACTTTAGTTTTCTGTTAAGAGGCATTTAACCCAAAGCATAATCTTAAGGAGACCTCTGAAAACCAGATGTGATTTTGTTGGACTACTTGGCAAAGCACTGACAGCTCCCTTAGTCTGCTCCCCTCTCCCCACTTAGTATCCAAGACACCAGCACAGCTTGCACTTCCAGAGTGCCCAGGAAAAGAACAGGCCAGTATACTTGATTGAATTCAAATCTCTGCCTACTTTCCTTATCTAGCAAGCCCTAGCAAGATCACAGAGTGTACCCCAAAACGGAAACAGCAAGGAGTTCCATCCCTCATAATTCTGCTTCATCTCAGCCTTGCCCATGAAAGCTGGGACTTTGTTTTCTTGGTTATCAGCGCTTTGCTGCTGGGTGTACCAAGAATGTGGCCCTTGGGGACATTGTGTTGATACCAGAGGAATTGGAGCCCTGGTAGTATCTTTGGTTAGGCGCTGCTGGTGGTAGGAATGCTGCAGATATGTCTCATGCACACATTTTCGAGGAGGAATCAACTCGTGTGCTTGTCTCCCTGCAGCCATGAGGACTGGAACCAGATGCAGAGCCAGGAGGATGAGGTGGCCATCACTGAGCAGGACCTGGAGCTTATTAAAGAGAGGGAAACGGCAATTCAGCAGCTGGAGGTGAGAGCCAGGTTATGGTCTTTGCTTTACTCAGTGTACCTGCACTCTTTAATCCACTTGGATTTTCTCTTAGTGATTATGAAAAAACATGAAATTTGTTGTGATTTGGATATTATGTCTTAGTGTATCATGGTGAACTTGAACTGCTCTGATGATGGTATTGACCATGGTGCCCAAGAATACCCAAATCCTCTCCTCAGTCACTGTGTCTTCTATGGTCTTCATGAGAGGATGCATGGAGAACAGAGCAAAGCAAACAAATATTTTATTGCTCACTTAGACTTTAACCCCGAACCTCAGTGCCATCCTCTAGGTTAGGTAAGTCTCTATGAGGAGCCCCTTTGCTTAGTCTGAATAGCCCAGAATAAAGGCAGGCCAGAAGCTTTGCTCCATTTTTATGCCTCCCAAAATCTAATCCGAGTTGTGGGTATCACTTCAGTGGGTCAGAGAAGTAGGAACAGTTTTTTTTTTGAAGACTTTTATTGGGGAATTGGGGGAAGGGGAACAGACAAGCTGCTGTCCTTTTGTTCTTCATTCTAGTTGTGGAGGACGTCACTTCACTGGCCCATGTTGGTATTATCATTGCGTTCTTTCCTGGGTGAGGCAGATCGGTCCCTGGCCACTGGACGGCCACTCAGTGGCTCTAGGCCACTCAACGCCGGCTGCCAGCCACTCACAGTAGCTTATGGGAGCCCACTGCAGCAGGGGCTGCAGCCTACGCTGTCGCTGGTGACTCACAGCAGCCCAGCTCCAGGTTGAGCTGTTGTTTACCATCTTAGCTGTAGAGGGCGCAGTGTCACTGGCCCTCATATGGGATCCAAACCAGGGCCCTGCTGCTCAGAGCTGGCGTCCCAAGCCAACTCTTAACCAATGCAGCCCTAGACATTTTTTTTTAATGTCCCAGCTCCCTCCTCTTCCCCCCCACCACACCAATTATTAGTTTGGACTATATGAAACTTCAGTTTTTTTTGTTTTTTTTTAAAG